GAGTAGCTTTTCAACTGGGTGGCAGCTTTGGGGTGTGTATGGGATTGTCAAGGCTTCTGGAAGTCCAAGGAGGTGGAGGGGGTATCCCATCCTGACCCAGAGAAAGCCTAGAGATTTCAATCATAAAATATTTATACTAGAGTTTTCAGCAGATTATGTCTCAGTAAGGTCTGTCCTAAGACAGTGGAGTCAGGCCAGGACTATGGCGGCAATTTCAGATTGTGGAAGCGGCTGTCAGGGGCTGTACTTGGGGGTTAGCACCAGGCTAACCTGCCCACGCCCCCCAACCCCGATTTACCCAGGTCTGTTCGGCCATGTGCAAATTCAAGATTAACTGCAGCTTTTGATCTCTATTGATATTTATTTAACCAGGTTCACCTCTTCAGAGAATAGATGCTGAGAGCAGCCCAAGCACAAGAGCTGAATAAGATGCTCTTTATCTGTGAGCACCTCATTCTAGGAATCCAAACTTGTCTCACATCTAAAATGCTTCTGGTTTTTATGACTACTGTGTAAATACTAGCAACCAGTATATATTCTAAATTTTGGCACAAGTTATGATCCACTGAATCTTTCATGACTAGACACAAAATTCAGGTCAGGATCTTCACACACTCCTTTTATAACTTTGAAAGACATCCAGACTTTTGTCTGATCACCACTTTCCAAGAATAAATTAGAAATCATAAAGCAAGACATTATATAAATGATATAAAAATATATGACCTTCCCCACAGAGACAACACTTGAAAAAAATCAGGAAACAGGGGCTGGAGCGATAGTACAGTGGAGAGGGCATTTGCCTTGCACACGGCTGACCCAGGTTAGAGTCCCAGCATCTGATATGGTCCTCTGAGCACCACCATGAGTAATTCCTGAGTGCAAAGCCAGGAGTAACCCTTGTGCATCACCAGTGGTGATCCAAAATAGAAAAAAACAAACAGGAAACAGGCAAGAGAGGGAGGTGTGCAACACTCCACAGTAACATTTTGTAAGATTCACCTATACACTGAACTATTTGAATTTTCTACTTCTCTGAAATGTTACAGTGTGTCTGATGGAACAATTTGGCTAAAAGGAGTGTTTCTTAATCTCTTGGTCTCAGGGGTTTCCTTTTTACATTCACGAAAATTACTGATGACCTTAAAGAATCTCTATGGATAATATCTACCTATCCATTTGAACCAAATCAGAAACTAAAGCTTAAAAAAATACTAGTCAACATATTATTTTTAAAAAAATTTTATTAAATTACCGTGAGAAAGTTACCAGCTTTCATGTTTGGGTTACAATCACACAATGATTAAACACCCATGATTAAACACCCATTCCTACACCAGTGCACATTACCCACCACCAATCTCCCCAGTATACCCCCCTTCCACACCCTCCCCCTGCCTCCATGGCAGACAATATTCCTCATACTCTCTCTCTACTTTTGGTCATTATGGTTTGCAATACAGACACTGAGAGGTCATCATGTTTGGTCCATTATCTATTTTCAGCACACATCTCCCATCCCGACTGATTCCTCCAGCTATCATTTTCTTAGTGATCCCTTCTCTATTCCATGTGCCTCCTCCCCTCCACTCATGAGGCAGGCTTCCAGCTATGGGGCAATCCTCCTGGCTCTTGTATCTACTGTCCTTGGGTGTCAGCCTCATGTTATGTTATTCTATACTCCACAAACGAGTGTAGTACTTCTGTCTGTCCCTCTCTGATTCATTTCACTTAGCATGATATTCTCCATGTCTATCCACTTATAAGCAAAGTTCATGACTTTATCTCTCCTAACAGCTGCATAGTATTATTCCATTGTGTAGATGTACCAAAGTTTCTTTAACCAGTCATCTGTTCTAGGGCACTTGGGTTGTTTCCAGATTTTGGCTATTGTGAACAGTGCTGCAATGAACATATTAACGCATTATTCAACAATATTAACAGAAATTACATGTTGCAGGTTAACTTTTTAAAAAAAATGTTGGGAGTTGGAGAGAGAATATTTGGCACACCTATCAGTGTCCACACCACACCCCCCCTCCGACATGCAGACACACACACACACACAGAGCAAGCTTCCAACTGTGGACCAATCCTCCTGGACACTGTTTTCTGGTCCCCCAGTGTATATTCCCAGTAGTGGTATTGCTGGGTCAAATGCTCAATTTCTAGTTTTTCGAGGAATGTCTATACTATTTTCTTAGAAGGTTGGACCAGTGGGCATTACCACTAACAATGAAGGAGGGTGCCCTTCTCCCCACATTGGAGCCAGCACTGGTTGAGAGAGACCTCTATTAATCTTGCAATCTCTTAGCCACTTTAACTTTTGTGAATAGTGTGACATCCAGTTATGGTTTCATCTTTTTGCACTCAGCAATCCAGTTTGTTCAGGATTGTTTGTTAAAGAGACTTCCCTTATTCCATTCAGGCATGCAGCACCTTTGTATGATGAACTGTACACAAATCTGAGGGTGTATCTCTGGGCTCTCAATTCTGAAAATAGAATATTTTATGGAACATAATATTGTCAAAATGAAAATAATTTAATAAGAAGAGTGGTATTTTCCATTTTTCTCTCTGCATGCCTGGTTTAGAAGCTCATACTTGCTTCAAAATTTACTCTGCTATAAGATGATGCCTCTGGAAACCTCACAGTACAGTCAAGAAATAACACTAGTGAAGACTTGATTGCAGCTGCCTGCACAGTCTGTTTGTGCCGATTTCAGTGTACTAGTTGGATGAATCATAGTTCCATTGCAAGGCAGTATAATTGGTTATCTGGCTTACAAAAACTTTGACGTGAAATCTGTTTACTTCCACACGCAGAAAGATCCCTCTTCCAAAAAACACATATTTTAGACTTGGAAGATTTGAGACAAAGCTGTGGAGAGGCGAGTTCTAAAACAACTTCCATTGTGATGGATTTCACACAAAATATGAGAAAATAACCTTTACTTTATGTTGCAAAAGTACCATGTTAAAATCTGCACGGGCACTCAGAGAAGACATTGAGAAAAATGCAGTTCTTATATTTAAGTACGATTGTCTAGTCTTTTTAAAATACTCGTTATTTTTAGGACAATTCATCAATACTTGCCAACAGGTTAAACTACAATTTGACAAGTTAAAAGTGCCTAGACAATTTTCAGAACAAAGTTCACCAAATTTTAAGGAAGAGGGTCAGAGCAATAGTATAGAAGGTAAGGTGCTTGCTTTATATGTGGCTCTATCCCTGGTCCCACATATGGTCCCCCAAGCTCCACCAGAAGTGATTCCTGAGTGCAGAGCCAGGAGAAACTCTGAGCACTGCAAGGTACCACTCTCAGCCCCCACTCCCACCCCCAAATAAAAAGAATGAGAAATGCTATTTTCACCTCACACCACAGTTACTATGCCAGTATCAAAGCTTAATAGTCAGCATTGGAAATTTGTATGGGACCAGCTATGGTGACCGTGTAAGCAGAACTGGTTTGGGGGCTAGTATTGTTTTGCCTAGACCAGCAGTAGCCCCAAAGCTACCATCTCAAATGTCCTTTGAGATGTAATAATGAGCTCACTGGAAGAAAATGAGCCACTACTCAGAATCAGAAACGGATTACCACTCAAAGGGTGACTTCCCTCAAAACGGAGAAGCTGCAGGAGAATCTAAAGGTCATGAGAAGAATTTGAAAGGCCACCGAAAAGTCCAAGGCTTTGTCACAATACCTAGACGAACCTTTATGTATGCAGGGAACTCCAGGCCATCTCCCAAAAGCTTCCGCTCTGGACAAGCCCATGTTCTCTCTTAGACATCTCTCCCACTCACTCTTTTTCCTTCATTTCTTTAAATAAGATGATTTTAGTTCACTGTTTTGACTCCTGAAATTCTGGTGGAGTCAGCCTCCACGATGTGTCAGTGCTCACAGTGTTATGTTTTATGCAGAAGGGAGTAAGGGAGAAAAACTAGTTAGTTTAATTGGTCATTTAAAATCTCACCTGCCAGAAAGGTATCCAGTCAAAATAGAAAATAGGATGGCTGGGATGGGAGCTAGAAGACAGAAGAAAATCCCCAGCCCGGTAATGCTCTTTGGTCCCTCTCCTAAGCCCAAGCAGAGAGCAACTCTTGATAGGATTCGAGACTGCAAGCTACCCGGGAACCCAATTCTAACGGGTGCCACCTCTCCAACTGCAACAGTGCTGCTGTAGCAGGGACACTTGGTGCCGAGTTTGGGGAGTGTCCTTTGTGGCTACAGTCTGAAGCACCTGAGAGGTAGCTAGCTGCTGCTAGGCAGGTGAGTCCCTGGTTCAATGGACAGCATTGCCTGTAGGGTAAAGGCACGGAAACAACGGCCAGCCAGCGAGGGGGGAGAAAAGGCCCACAGGCCCGAAGCAGGACATAGAGCAAAGGCCCTGTTTTTGACTGCGACCCTGAGCTCTAGTTTACTGAGCAGACCCTGCACCAGCTTCGCGGGCTTTCCTGGGGCCTGAGAGCAGAAGGTGCATGGGGACGGTAGGTGGCCGGGCTGGGCTCGAGGTTGCAGCACCGGGCCCGCGGGGTTCTGCACGTAGCACGGAGCCCGCAGGGTGGGGGTCCAAACGGGGTCACAGCCTCCGTCTCACCCGGCTTCGAGCCCCAGGGAAAACAATGGAATGAGCCCCAGGGAAAACAATGGAATCGATAGTCAAGACTAACGCCCCTAGCCTGTGTCCGCTCCAGCCTCTTTACTACGTTTTGGGTGATTGAAATACCACTGGAGGGGTCTTCTGGGTCGGCTGTGATGCCCAAATAAGCTGTCACGACCCCCCCCTCCCCCCCCCCCCCCCTCCGCTCCCGGGTGCCTATTCAACCGACCTAGGCGGCTGGAAGGAAAACACGACAATCGGAGGGAAAAAAAGACAGACGCTGGTGGCTCCTCCTCCCTCGCCCCCTCCGCGGCCTGGCACAGGCGCCGGCGCTCGTCCCGGCGGAGGGTGGCCGGGAGACGACGGCGGCGGCGGCGGCGGCAGCAGCGGCGGGGCGGGCGCGGGGCCGCGGAGCCCGGGCGCGCGCTCCCGCGGAGATTTGTCCCCGCGCGCGCGCCGTAGCGGCGGCGGCGGCGCGCGGCGGCGATGGGCGAGACCATGTCCAAGCGGCTCAGGTTGCAGCTGGGCGGGGAGGCGGCCATGGAGGAGCGCGCCTTCGCCAACCCGTTCCCGGACTACGAGGCGGCCGGCGCCGGGCTCGCCGCCGGGGCGGCCGACGACGCGGGCTGCGCTCGGTCGGCGCCCGCCCCCGACCCGCTCGGCCTGCCGTTCCGGGACGACGGCCAGGTGAGGCGGCCGCGCCGGGCGGGGGCGCTGGCGGTGGTAGCGCCCACCGGCTGGGCCGTCGCGTGACGTCACCCGCCTGCGCCGCGCGACGCCGCAGCCGGGCGTGCTCGCGAGACTTCCGGTCCGCGCGACGCCCGCGAGGTTTCCGGCCGCGCGCTGCGGGCGGGGGGCGGCTCCCGGCTCCCGGCCAGGCCCTGTGGTGCCGGAGTCCGCTGGCCGCGCGCGAGGTCGCGTGTGCGGGGCCGAGAATCGTGTGTGTGGCGGGGGGGGTGATCCGTGTGCGGCCCTGGGTCATCCCGGGCTCCGTGGTGCAACCCGCATCCCGAGGTGCCGGAGTCCGCTGGCCGCGCGCGAGGTCGCGTGTGCGGGGCCGAGAATCGTGGTGGTGGTGGTGGGGGGGGGTGATCCGTGTGCGGCCCTGGGTCATCCCGGGCTCCGTGGTGCAACCCGCATCTCCCGAGCTGCTGTGAGGGCCCTCCCTGCCCCGCGGCGCAGGGTTGCCGGGGTGCGCCCAGGAGCACGGGCTGTGGGAGAGAATTGTGGTGCTCCCGACGTGAGGGGTCGCTGCGTGTGCAGCCTGAGCAGCCCTGCCTGGGGGCTCGAGAGAAGACAGCGGGCAAGGCCATGCCCCGCACATAGCCTACCCGGGCATCTGTCCTTGTACCTTTCCGTGTGTGTGTGCGCGCGCGCGCGTGTGTCGTTATGAAAGGGATTGTGAACCCTGTGCTTCGACCAGGTGTTTATTGCAGTTATAATAACTTCCTTGTGGTTCTGATCTATAATCCCCTACAGATATCAGAGTTGAATAGATCTGTTCAGGATATATAATCTAGATGATATTGCTACTTAATTTCGCACCAACAAGCAGATCAGGTGATGTAAATATATACCTATGTTTGATTTTTTTTGGGCCACACTGAGCAGTGATCAGGTTTTGAGCTCAGGGATTACTTCTGGTGCTGCTCCTGGGGCCATCTGGGACGCTGCAATCAACCATGTGGGAGGCAGAACCCTGCCTGCTGTAGTATCCAGCCCTGTAAATAAGACCTGTTTTGATTTTATTTTATTTTTGCTGGGTTTTTTTTTGGGGGGGGGGGCGGGTCACACCCAGTGATGCTCAGGGCTTAGGCTCTGCAAACAGGAATCATTTCGGGCAGTGCTTGGAGGACCCTGGTTGGCCGCATGCAAGGCTGGCACCCTACCCGCTCTACTCTCACTCTGGCACAGTACCTAATTTTTAAAGAATGTTTGTTTTTTTTCTTTTGGAGCCACACCCGGCTGTGCTTGGCGTCTAGGCCATGCTCCAGGGTGTTGCAGTGGTGCTCGGGCTACCTTGTACTAGGAACCAAACACAGGCTCTCACATGCAAACCGTGTATTAACCCACTGAGCCTCTCCCTGCTCCCAGAAGGGAATGTTTTTAGATGTTTAAGCAAACTGTTTCATTCACACAGATTATTTTAGTTAAGGACCCTTCCCCACTTACTGAAAAATTTATTTCAGTAGATAGTATGTTTTTCTTTACTAATACCATTTCTTCTTTACTAATTCACATTGATATAATAATTGGGCTTCTTTCATTCATTTGTATTTGTAGAATGTACTGTTAGGAAATCAATCCCTTCATTTAAAAATCAGACCAGATCCTTCATATATATAAATCATCACAGAGCATTTTACATTAGGATGTCTGAGAATGTTAGATACACTTTTCTCCGCCCATACCTCCAAAGGGAAAGGGCTCATTCAACTTCTAAGAAAGAATTTATGGATGTGTGTGTGTGTGTGTGTGTGTGTGTGTGTGGCTTTTGTGTATCATTACAACATGTCATAAAGCTATTTTTGTTATTTTTAAAAATGGCAAGGCAAGTTACTCTTTGACGTTAAGAAGTTGTTTCTTCAAAACAGAGAGTAACCCCACGGACAGTAGAAATAAGGGTCAGGACAAATGGTCCACTGTTGGAAGCCTGCCTCAGGGGCGAGGGAGAGGCTTGTTGGGATGGAGAACAGACCTTTATGACAATAAAGATTGGAAATAATTGCTCTGGATTGGAGATGTATGCTGAAAGTGGGCAAAGGACCAAACCTGATGGCCTCTCAGTATCTGCAGAGAATAAAACCCAAAAGTGGGGGGAAGGATGGGAGGGAGGGAGGGAGTGGAGGGAGGGAGGAGGAAAGGAGAGAGTGGGAAAGAGGAGAGAGAAATATCTGGAGAAGGATGGGTGTTGGAACATTTTATGACTGAAACTCATGAAAGCTTTGTTACTATATCTGATGGTGAAAAATTGCTTCTTGGGGCCAGATACAGTACAACGCACATTCATTCCGACATCCCATATGGTCCCCTGAGCATCACCAGGAGTGATATCTGAATGGACACTCAGGAGTAAACCCTGAGCATTGCTAGGTGTGTGTGTGTGTGGGGGGGGGGAGGCATTTCTTAGCTGACACAGTACTTGGGTTAAGGTACTTGCCTTGTACATGGCCAACTCAAATTAGATCTTCAGTGCTACGTATGGCCCTCAATCCCTGTCAAGAGTGATCTCTGGGCATGGGGCCAAAACCTTGAGAACCACTGGGTATGGCCCCACCCTCACCTACTTCACACAAAAATTATAATGTGGTATGATAATGTTACAGTGTCTGGGTTATAAAACTTGGATAATGAGTTCCAGGAATCTAGTTTACATTAGGCATGTAATAAATTTATTCATAAGATCTGGTGCATTGGGGGGGGGGGGGCAGTTGCTATTTGGGCTATGTTCAGGGCTTATTCTGTGCCGAGGGATCACTTCTAGCAGTGCACAGGGTGCCATATGAGCAGCCAGAAATTACACCGGGCTTGGCAGCATGCAAGGAAAGTGCCCTACCCCCCCCCCCCCCATACTGTACCTTCAGCCTCTCTGCATTTAAAATATATTCAGAAGTTTGACTTATACATAACTGTTCAAAACTTAGCTATTGCTTTGTAGGAGTAGTCCATGTTAAACACCTATTTGAAGTTTAGATCATGGTTTTAAAAAACTCCTTTTTAAATATCTCTGAAATATTCTTGCACTTACAGTTCCTCAGAAGCAGCTTTAGAAAGAATGATTATGAATTTTGTACTATTGAAGTTCTTGCTGGCTCAGCTCCCAAACCATCTGGATTGAATGACCTGGAAAAAACTACAGGAATAGCTATGTGGGCAAAGCCCCCACACCTCCCCCCAGGCCCCATTCCCATGCCTAATCCAGGCAGCAGGGGACCTGACATCTCCTCCTGATAGGGTGCTCTTGCTATGGACTGCCAGCAGGTGGGTTGATTAGATAGACACCTTCCTATTTCTCAGATAGCTTTGCTGTTACGTAGAGAATTCAAAGACCTCTGTTTTAGCACACAGCTTTTGACTCCTCGTTGCTCCATTCCCTTCACCACCTTTCCTCGTCCTACATGTCCTACATGTCCTGCATTCCTTTTGCCCCTAAACAAACTTGTCATTTGACTATCAATCTTTGACCCGCACCTGTAGACCGCCCCTGCATATGTGAACTGTCAGGCTTGGACCCAGTTGGGATGATCTGCTCACCCCCACGCTGTGGGACAGTGGACACCTTGGCAAAACCACCCTTGGTATCTCTGCATGCAGAGATACCTACTTCGGGCCTCTTCTGAGACTCCTATCACAGTTGTGTAGTCCCTTGCCTTCGAAAGGGCTAATAAGAAAGTTGTATTAGTCCATCAGACTTTAAAATGTGCCTGGCAGGGTGGCAGGCGGGGTGTGTGTATGGGGAAAAGCTTGGGAACATTGGTGGAGGGAAATTGACACTGGTGGTAGGATTGATGCTAGAATATAATATGTCCAAAACACAAGTCAAGTCTGGTACAGTGTTCATGGACTGACTAATGTGTTTGAAAAGGTGAGGCAGGACTATGCTTTCTGGAGATTCTAGGGTGATCTTGGCTTCCAGTATCGTTCGTATTGTTGCCAAATTCACTTCTTTGTGGTTGATGTGTCATTCATATTCTCTTGTTGGGGTCTGCCAAGGGTTAGATACTGCTTGTACACACCTGAGTTTTACTCCTACTTTTCTTTTAGTTCCTTCAACAACAGCAAGTTGGTATCTCTAATACTGCATACCTTGCTTGACTTCACCTTCTGCCACATTCCTTGGATTTCAATGTGGAAGAAGTTCTCTACTTTATGGGTTCATGTGATTGGATAAGCATCATATAGAGAATTCAGGATACTCTCCATTTCAGATTCTAGGATTGGGGTATAAACATTTTAGGCGGTGTTCTGCCATTGTGCTAACCATACTAGTACTTAATTTTGAGTGCTTTCTTTTTCATTTTTGTTTTGGGGTCATACCTAGCTGTGTTCAGGGCTAACTTTTAGTCATACCTAGCTTTGTGCCCAGGGATCATTCCTAACTGTGCTAGGGATCAGACAAAGGTCGACTGCATGCAAGGCAAGTGCTTTATCTGCAATACTGTCTCTCCAACTGCTTAACCTGTTAGTCTTTGAAGCTTGGTCCAGTTAAACCTGTTGCTCCTTGTATCACTTTTTGATGAAGATGCTTTCCCTCCCCTTTGTACCATGTTTGTCATCTGGAAGATGTAGACAGGTGTCATCTTCTGTTAGCCTCCATCTCCATTTACTCTCATATACCTATAGTGCACCTGGGTTCCTCTGCCAGTTCCTTCATGTGTGAGGCTCGTCCAAGCGTGTGGAGAGTGGTCTTGAGCATGGCTGTGGCTGGGTACTGGGGCTCTGCTTGGGGCAGGGAGGGAAACTAAACAGAAGAACCAAGGTGCATGGGTCCCTGGACTGAGATCTCCAAGCCTGCTTGGATCAGGACTGGGCCTCCTCCACCCAGATCCCCCATTTTCCAGTAGCTAGGCAGTTACATCCACAAACTGCCCCCTGTACCATGAAATCCCATCAACGGCCAAGATCCAGACACTATAAAACAAAGCTCCTGGAAGCACGTGGTCGCATATGCAGCCACACAACCTCTT